ATGCGTAATGTCACGTCGTCGTGGGTGGGTTCTCAAATGTTATGCAGATTTGTTTACCTTTTATATGCCTATGTTCACAAATAAATATATTAAATAGAATTGAATTTACTTTTTTTCGTAGCTAGAAGAATAATCTTGCAACGTGCATCTAAAAGAGTTGTGTTATGCACCTTAAAATCGTTGTTTTATTTCAGTTCGGTTTGTAACGATAACATTCTAGTTTAGTGCCAAAACAACACTTTTCGAACATTGTTGAATAATACTGCTATCTTTCCATCGATCTTAAATGTTATTGTTTATTATTCTAAGGAAAATTTCCCACTTTTCTAACGCCTTTTATAGCTTCGTTATAAAAATGCAAAATGGAATAATATGCTAAAGTATCTAACAGACGCATAGGTACACTTTGTCGTGTTGCCTGTATTTCCAGAGAAGCCGGCACGCGAGCAGCTCGGATGATATTAAATTCTGGAGGTAATATTCATGAACGAGAGCCCTAAGCACGCCCCTCGACTCTTCTCAATATTATAAAACTGTATTCGTAATAAGCGAAAATTATAATTTTAGTCATTTACAGGCAACGTAGGTACTTACAAATTAAACCGCTTTAATTTTTGTTCCGCTCTGTGAAATACATTTTAAGTGGGGAAAAAGAAAAATAGATGGATTTATATATTTCGTCGTTTTCTTGCTTGTTAGACATATAAGATAGAGTTTACTGTTAGAACAGATAGGTAATTCGCTACAATAAACAGACACTTTATTCAAAAGCACCATATTCAACTCATAAAATAAAAGCTGACCGTTTTCCGGACTTCGCACACTCCGGTATGTGAAAATGGATAGAGTGTTTTCACTGTTAGTGCCTCTAGAGACAAAAGTAGTGAGTAAAAAATAAAACGAAAAAAAAATGGCGGGCTCGTCACCGCTCCGCATTAATTTTATGAAGTCGCCACGCGGGAACTATAAATTGCCGGCGTTGTTGCCGGCGTGACGTCACACACGGTCGCCTGCTATAATTACGAGTATTTGCCGGTGATTTCGAGAGCTATCAGCAGCAATGATAAGTTTAACATGTCATTATCGGCCGTCCTCCCTCGTGCCACGCGAAATTGCGTTAAAATGTCAGATATTTATAGTTTTTGTTATTTTCAACCGTCACTGGGTAAATTCAAAGTATTTTTTTATTGTTATCCATTTTAAGGTGTACGAAGTCGAATAGTTAAACATCTAAATCCCAGATCGGTAGGTCAGATTAACGGTAGGTAATCTCAGACACAAGTGTTTACCATGATAACTAATGACGTTATAGTATTTTTACCATATTTTCTCATTGACAATATAAATGTAAACAATTGACATGTTAGAGACGTCACGCGGGAAAAGACAAGGACAAAAATATATCGTTGTCTCTTTCTGAATAAAATATCTATCTTTGATTTTTCTTCTGCATTCACAATACATAAATAAAAACAAATGACACGTCAGTGACGTCAGACCCGAAACGACAAGGACATAAATATATCGTGGTCTCCTTTTGAATTTTAAGCGACAGCTCTCAAAACGTTCTCGTAGCATTTGATTGAAAGATAGTGATTCACAAATACTAGTAAAACCTGCCATAGCTCATTGAATTGAAGATACTAGAATTAGTATCAATGGGGATACCGATAAGTATTCATGAGTGATTCAAACAAAAAAAGTATAAAATGTACTTATAATGCATAGCTTACAGATAAAACAAGTTAGATGCAAGTAAATAGTCAATATCACAGATCATATCGATATACGAGTATTTTACTCTCAAAGATTGAAAGAGAGACCGTTCATATTTACTCAAGTTCAAGTTTACCGTTCACGTTACGCACGAACGTAGAATATTTGTATTCAGACGTACACGCCAACCATTGATTTGTTTACTTACCGATTTTATACACACATGCATAAACGTGTTACAAATTAAATCATATGTCGCCCTAAACAGATACTTGATTAATAAAATAATCTTTATAATCATAGTAAGGAGAAAAGAAACTACTAAGGTGTGGAATTCTTTTCCGGAATCTGTTTTCCCCGAGAGATATAACCTGCGTGCCTTATACACCTCCGCAGATCGCATCATCACTTGCCACTAGGCGTAGTAATGGCCTATGTAAATTTTTTTTAATGATCATGGCCGACTTTCATTGTAAAATATCGATTAAATTTATATGTATGTTAGTTAGTATATGTTCAAATTTATACACAAATATACATAACTAACTAATTACGTAGCGCTATTTTATGAGGACCGGTGACACTGCATTGCCCCACATCCTGTCTACTGCATAAACTGCTGATGCATCTATGACGTCTATCGATTTCGTAAATTGATTTAAATATAAAATATTGTAAGATTAACATTCCATATTCCGACTTAGATGTGGAACATTGTTCATTAGGGTTAATTTGTGTAATATATAAATTTTTATTCAATATCGAAATCATTTCGGTTTTTTTCAATCATTCTGCTGCCGCAAACGTAGTTAACTATATTTAGCCTTAGTGTGTGTATTTACATTGGTACCTATATACTGAATCACAAAGGCATCCTTAAGCGATTAATAAATGATATATTGGAACTGTTCGGCTGAATCCTAAGGCGGCAATCAATGGCCGAATTAAATATTAATTACCTTTCAAGGGATACCCATTACACGTGTCCTAAAGAAACATTAGCTAGACGTTGGGTCCTTTTGTCCCTTCCAACACAAATGTACGTAGATACGCAATGTCTCAATGGCTTTAGTTGATACAACAAAACCTTAAGATAAATCTGTTCATAGATTTTCAATCACAATTTCAGACAAAAGTTTTATGTTTTAGATGATTTAAATTTATATTTATTTGGCCATCCAATGCTTTTGAGAGAGTAAAGTCAGCAAATGCCTCCTTCCGTTCTGGGTGAGACGGACGGAAAGTCATTACTGACTAAAAATCATCCCGTTCCTTCTCCTGATCAGGGCGAGGGCCGCAAAATATTACTACGATTGCAACCACGGCTGAATATTTCGCATAGCTACGTTGATGGTTTTCCAGAAATAAATCCTGCCGTAAGTTAACTAAATCCTGCTCAAAAGGAAGAAAGTCTGCGAGGTAAATCTTAGCACATGATTCGGTTAGTGCACTAGCTTTGCACTTGACTGCCATACTACCCGAACGTGTAAACAACTTGACGCGGAACACAATAAACATTTTCCTAGTTCTTCAAACATTTCATTCCTGATTTATTATTTGTACGACAGCTATTATAACTCCAATAAAAGCTCATATCATAAAGTTTCGTATGAATATATTTAATAAGTAATTACTTAATCTTTTGCGCGATGTATGCGAGCCGGTTCCGCGTTCTCATTGGTAATGTCTCACATGAATAATTCCTGGTTATCTATTATAATACGGCTTAACACAATCCTGCCGCAACCGATAACGTATTTAGAATAATTTACAACTCTGATAGAATTCACTGAATTCTGTTTAAGGTCGAGATCTGTGAGCAAAATGAATCAGCGCGGGAAAATTTATGAAAACGTACCTGGTATTTGTCTCGAATAAAAATACTGTGAACAATTCTATCAGAGACATTGAAAAAAAAAGAATAGGAATATATAATTACATAAGTACGTTCTTATGTTCGTTTTATCGAAGTGTTTCTTTCAAATTGTATTTGATACCCACTTGAACGTAAGCACGTAGGGAAAAACGGCAGAATTAATGTCAGATATCACAACGCATTTGTAAGTCAAATTACCAGCCGAAGAGAAATGTTGAAACTTCTAAAGACGGAAACCACGAAACGGATGATCCCGGCCCGGTTTTGCGGCTTACATTAATTTGTTACAATCTATTACATAGATTACAGCGTGTGACTCACGACCACGTAACTAGGGGCAAGTTGAGCGCAGAATAAATATTCAGGGAACGACAGAAGAAATTAGTGTGATACGGATAGGGCGTAGCAACAGAATCTTGCCTAAATAACGCTTTTCAGATGAGTAACACGGATTGTCTGGAAATAAATTAATCAAGCGGTGGGGCAACCCACGTAGCGGATTTACGAGTTCTCCTGTCTCCTGTGCACGCCCCCTCCCGGCGGAGGTCGCGCCCGCGTCTCTCCGCATCTCGCACGTCGCACTACACAACTCATCAATTTCCTCGCGACATACGACTTGGAATCCTGTTAATTAAACTATGCCGCCAAATTAAAGCTGCTGTACGAGTCACGCGGCTCACCACTAGCGAAACTATGCACATTACGTATTGCTGCTTGACTCTCTCGCCTGTCTAGTGGTCACTCAACTATTTCTTTTCCAGTGTGAAGACAATTAAAGAGAACCAAATCTGTATTTAATTTTTGGCTGTTCTTAATTTGCTGGGACTTGCAAATTACACAATAAACAATGGGAGTAGACCTGAGGCAAGGAGATCTGTGTGTACCTACACAAATTCATGTATTATTATTGCTGTTCTGCAAATGTTTATGAATCTATGTAAACTATCTTCATAATATATTTCAATGACGTATACACAAAAGAAGCTAATTAGTAACGTATTCGAAAAAGACTGTAACACTCATCAAAGTAAACTCGATACAAAGTTAATCGAGTAGAAGCGACCGACGTACGAATCAATGACCTTAATGAATAGACGAATCGCGACTTGGAAAGAGTTCATCGAACATGGAAAATTGGAAAGTAACAAATATCAGTGAATATACAGTGGAACACTTTTATTTGTTGCTTTCTAATTCAGCGATAAAAAGATCTTTTCATGTATAAGTGCTTTGTTCAGTCTACAAACAAGCCACAATCATATTTCGTGGAATTTTATTTTTTGTAGCTTGTAAAATATGTTGTGCAAAAAAAAAAATTTGGTTATTTTTAGAATAGAATAATTGCTAAATGAAATCAATGGATTGGATTCGTTAATTGGAAACATAAAGAGCAACGTGCAGTACTGACCTATGAGGCTGTGCCGGCTGGCGCCGAGGCTGGGCGCGGGCGGCGAGCCGGCGGACCGCAGCGCGCCTAGCGCGCCGTCGCCGCCGCCGCCGCCCAGCGCGCCGCCCTCCAGCGCGCCTGCAACCGAAAACCACGCTTAGTGTCAAGAATCACGAAAACTATGTACTAAAAATCCCACAAACAAAGAAAATCAAAATAAGTTTATTTATCTATCTAAGTTTATAAGACCCGTCAAGTTAAGTGAAACTTGTACAGACGTCAAATGGTTTGTTCATTAACATTAATTAGGTATTTGTAAAGTTTATAAAGTGATTGTTAAGCTCACACAATTCGAGATTGACGCGACACACCAAGTTTAACAAGTACACAAGTGAATCAAGTAACTTCATTAATAATTGAGAGCACATTAAGACAACTAATGGCCCGACAATTTAGGACATCAAATACGGACAAAGTGAATATGACTGAGTCTTATCTAAAGCTGGTAAAAAAAAACTACATTCATTGTACCTATAGTAAATAAATATTAGTTCGGGTGTACACGGCATTACAAATTAAATTAAAATCTATACTAATGATATAAAGAGGTAAAATTTGTAAGTTTATATGTTTGTAGGTTTGTATGTAGGGGGTAATTTTTTTTAATTTAAAATATTTGGAACTGCTGGTCCGATTGCCAAAATTCTTTCACTGATAGATAGCTATAATATTCTTGAGTGCTATAGGCTGTAAAATATCACGCTACCATTAAATGGAGCCGAGCAGCGGGTGAAACCGCGAGAGGGTAGCTAGTTCTAAATATGCGTTAAACATAAACCAGATAATAATTGCTTTATTCTGAAAGCTAGAGATTGTTCTCCTTCTGCGCAATAATGTACCGCGGCCCCAACCTGAAGCAGGAGAAGAAGAAGAAGAAGGAGAAGGAAAACGCTGTTCTTTAGTCAGTAAGAGTCTCACACTCCCTCGCGCCCCACACCAGGTGCGAGAATATTTTATGATTTTCTTTTTTCGAGAAAAAGGTACTAGGATTGCATAAACGCGTAAGTGTCTTGCACATATGTACATATGGGAGAATTCAGTTTCCGCAGTTGACTCTTACAACTTGCAGGCTTCGAAACTATTGAAACTAAGTTTTCTTGGAGCAAGTTTTCAAGGATTCATTTGGAATCAGTTCACTTCTTCACAGCCTAATCTTCATAATGAAATTCGTTCATATTATCAAGATCTTATGTTTACTGTTAAATCTGTGGCGCCATCAACTTGTGTGGGGCATAGTTCACACAAATAACGTTCTATATTTCTTTATTTAGTACATAGTGGCTATTTAGATATTGTGAAACCTAGTATTCTTACTGAGAACTAGAAATGAAACTTGAAACTACTCGTATACCTTTCAGGTTTTCAGGTTTTCTTAATACTCAAAAACTAAAATGGTCCTAAAAAGAGCACTTCATTTAAAAATCTTATTTAAATGACGTACTTCCTAACAGGCGTTCAATATCAGACTAAATTACTTTTTCTCTTATTCCCTATTAGCCTATTTAAATTTTTGAGCGTGAAACTTGAAAGCACAAACAATGTATTCAGCAGTTTGGCGCAAACGGCCGGTCCGCTCCCAAGGGTGCCATAAAAATTAATATGGCGTTATAAAAATGATATTTTTCATTAGAATTGTTGCCAACTACTTTTTAGTTTTCAGCAAAGATTCGTGGTTTTTGCTTTAGATTATCTTTAATGTTGTACCTATGTAGATAAGTACGAATTTATGAATATGTTCAAAGTAAAATTGCTCTGTTTATGGCCTTATATTTTTTAAGCATGAGCAGTGTAATCAGTTTTGTACCGTGCTATTAAAACTCATCAATTTATTTACTTGTATCTTTCAACATTAAAACATGATTTATACCTAATTACCTATTTGATGAGGTAATTTTATCGAATTAAAAGTATGTGCATAGAGGATCTATATCTTGATCCGCTACATTAGACCAGCTGAAATGGAGACCACAAATGTGGACAAAAATAGTCGCCAATATTGATAGGTCCGTTCGGTTTCCAATAACGAGATGATAAGGCTGAGGCTATGCTTGCGCTCGATGGTCGTGACGACTCCCCGGGGATGCGTCGCCGACGACATTTTGCTTTATGTGCCCTAATATAGTCGATCCGTTGTCCTGTCCTGCTTGTGGACGTTGAGCTAGTGATGTGTGGTGTGTGCCTAGCCTTATTCGAATGTTACAAATTATTATATCAATATTAGTTGTTATAACTGGCTTTGTTGCAGTATCTAGTTTATTATAAGTATTGCTAAAGAGTTTTTTTTTTGTTTGAATACAGTTTTGGAAGCCATTTAATAAATCAACCCCAACATGTTGCAGTTTAGCCAACGAATATTTCTTTTTGTAAATAAAACTAACATGAGGTCAATAAACTGCATTGTTTTACCACGACTACTATTCATAGAATCGTGCACACAATATCAAGTTAACAACCTCGAAACTTGGCGACAGACTCGGTAACGCCCTCGCTTGACAGCACTGCCGGTACCAAGGCACACTTCTTATATTTCCACGCAAAAATGTATTTTCTTAAACCAAAAACATGGCGTCGGAACCACGTTTTATGCATTGTAGATAAAACAAGAAAATATGGCTGTAATATGTATACCAGAACGGGCAATAACGCGGTTTCGGCCGATGTCTTTTATGTTGTCTTTATTTACTCCATAACAGATAGGTAGTAAAATTTAATGTTCTATATTATGATGATCTTATTTTTTACACGCGGTAACATTTGTGTATTTTTTCGTTACAATTTTAAGTGCGATTGTTGGGAAGAGAAAGAGGCACGTGGCGTCCTTAGTCCGGCCCTGAATGTTTATGGAACATGTTTAGTGAATTTATCGTCGTAATTTTTCCACATTTCTATACATTTCTTTTTTATGAGCACTGTTATACGCTTGGTAACACATGTTGGAGATCGTTTTAGTTTTATGTTTTCCCCTGATTATTAGTTTGTTTGTAATGTGGTCTAACTTTCGTATAAAGTTAATTAAAGGCCTCGTGAATCTTCTTGTAGGTACGGTTTGCGATAGTTGTGAAGTTGCCCTCTTAGAGCTAGTTGTTCGTGTACATTGCATTCAATCTATTGCCTCGGTCTAGCTGCACTGAGGTAATTATGACTGACTTGTTTCACATTTGCATGCTATTTTGTCTAATGTATGATACTTAAACTAGTTTTATAAGAAAACTATTCCTTTAATCTTTTCCTAGATATTACCTAGTATATAATTGTCTGCTATGTATTCTATTAAAGAAAAAAACGTTAAAACGGCAACTTTAATTCAAATCAACATCGAGCATCTCTCGGAGACTTTTATTTTAATTTTTCCATACAAATAATATTGTTACCAGAGCGGTTACATTTACTCGTTTCAGAGTAACCAGTTACAGTGACTAATGAATAGAACTATACCGTTCAATTGAAATATAGTTCGTGCAATTCGAACAATAGGTAAACGGTAAGTAATTCGATCAAATGCTTTCATTCGTTGGTGAATAAAACCGTGGTCGAATAGTAAGCCTTTTGGAATCGAAACCACGTTTTATTTGATGAACATTGGATTTGAATTCACGGGGGAAATGCAAATTTTGTTTTTTATGCAATAAACTTAATAAAAGTGATATTTTAACAGTTTCAGTTTCGTTTTATGAAATAAAATGAAAAAAATAGATTGAAATTCAATGTTTTTTATGTAAAAAAATGTCAAATGTCAAATGTTTCATAACTGTTTTAATAACGTGACATGTTGCTTAAAATACGTTACTATATTTTAAAACAAATTTGCCTGAATGTCAGTATTCCTATTATCTAAGAATGTCTGCAAATATAAGAAAAATCAAATATATACCTAGAACTCTACAACCCTGATAAGATTTATGCATGCATGTAAAACGAAGTTTTTGATTCAGCTCACACCCCTCGTCGGCGTCGCGAACACTTTCCCCGTGACACTTTAACGTGGCGACTTCCTAAATTAAGAGCTCAATGAAAATGCAAAGTGAATGTAGTTGAAACATTAACTCGTCCTACTAATATTATAACAGTGAAATGTGTAAGTATGGATGGACGTTTGTGAGAAACTACTGAACGGATCTAAATGAAATTTGGCACAGAGATAGATTATAGTCTGGAATAACACATAGGCTACTTTTTGCCCTCGTACTGCGGACAAAGCCGCTGGCCAAAAGTCTCAGTTTCACACATAATTCCTCTCTGAAATTAAGTGCGGGAGAGCCATGCTTCAGCTTGAAAGAGTTTGAGTAACCGGCGTCCTACCACAGTCTCCAAAACCGGCGTGAAACAAACATAAGTGTCATATTCCGCCGTGCGAGAGAGGCTACCCGAGGTCCAATCCTTGACCCCCTCCCCGCCATCTTCAATCCGCCAATCTCCTATCCTTAAATCCCTAATAACCAAGAAGGTCGGCAACGCCCATGTAGTAACTCCTTTGGTATAACAAGTATTTGCGGCGCTGATTGCTTACCATCAGGTAATCTGCCTGTTTGTTTACCTACCTATGACATAAAAAATAAAAAGAAACACGACATTAACCGGTCGAAAAAAATAAATAAATTAAACAGGAAGGTTCCAAAATATTTCAAACCAATGTATACTTAACAGATCTAAATGATAAATACCTAATTCCAAGTAATAATAATGACTAAGCAAAATAAATCATAAGCAATAATTAAATTCCATGTAATTACAAGACAAATCCGAACTCTGGAAAATTACTCTGAATAATGATTAGTTGTATATAACGCTCGCGTTATTTATATAACATTTCAAAGAAGATCGTCGAGAATCGTCGCACAGAGCGGAACGGTAGGCGCGGATGGCAACCACTTCATAATAAATTCACTAGAGTCTCAGACCACAATCTTTGAGAACATTTAGAGGCACTTTAAACTACATCAAATATTCTACAACTAAGCCCGTGTACAATTGAAAGCAGAAATAAACTACTCAATTACTTGGACCGAAGATATTAAATTGGACATTTATATTGACGATTGTATCACGAACGTAAATTACTTACGGCTAAATCTCTTATT